TGAGAATGATGAGGGCAATGAATGTACAAATGTGCTTTATACAATTGATGCATGTATGGATTGTGATAAGAGTTGTATGAGCCCCTAATAAAACAATTTTTTAAAAAAGAAAAGAAAAAATGTATTTCTATGCAGGTAGAAGTTTCCCGTGAAATCACACCATCTACACACTGTTTTGTTGCTGTTAGGTGTCATTGGCTCCAACTCATAGTGACGTTAACAGAAAGAAAAGCCACCTGGTCCTGTCCCATCACGACAACTATTGTTATGTCTGAGTCCATTGTTGCAACGATTGTGTCAATCCATCTTGTCCGGCTTCTTCCTCTTCTTCTGCTATCCTTCTACTTTACCAAGCATAATGTCCTTCCTTAATAACATTTTCTTCCAAATTTAATATATTTAGAGTTTCTGTCTGCTTGCCAGTTCCCACTCATAGCAACCCAAGATGACAGAACGAGCAGTCCCAGTGCAGTTCCACGTGGTTGCCGTGTTTATGGGAACACAGCACCAGGTCTTTTCTCGAGCAGAATCACTGGTGGCTTTGAATCTAGACATTTCAGTTAGCAGCAGAGTGCTTTGACCAGATGGGTGCTACCAGGATGCTTATAGAACTTCTCCAGAGTCATAAATAAACAAATAGGGCATGTAGATGTTACACATAGTTCACAACTTTAAGCATCAAAATAGCCATAGAGTTAAATTGATCTTTCATGGGGGTAATGATTCTAGACTGGAGAAGAAGATAAAGAAACTCAAACGACAATTGAGATAAACCTAAACTTTTCCTTTGTAAACTAATTGCCACTGAGTTAATAGCAACCCTCTCTATTGGACTTTTAAAAAGCATTCAGCATTTCAAATGTTAAAATGAGGTTTGAGTCATCTTCCCGTATATAATGCTAAAGGAAATGTTAGGACTGCTCTGTGACTTACGGAAACTGACTCTTTATGGAAGTAAACGCTCGGTGTTTCTCCAACGGGGCGCCAGTGGTTGCCCACTGCGGGCCTTGCAGTACACAACACGATGGGGAATCACAGCGCCACGGAAAATCAAACTGCCTGCGAAGTCAATGCTGACTCATAGGGATACTATAGGTTACAGTAGAACTGCCCCTTTGAGTTCCGAAGACTTTACTGTTTATGGGAGGAGAAACCACTGTATTTCTCAAGCAGAGTGACTGGTGATTTTGAATTAGCCAGTTTTGTAGGATTTCGCCCCAAAGTGTAACCACTAGGCAACCAGTGCTCGTGTAACAAGGGTTCCTTCGAAAAAGTAATTATGTCAATGAATAATACACTATAGATTTCCACCCATTAATACTTAACATAATATTTAAAAGATTTAAAAGAAGTGACAAGCAATAGGACAAGATAAAGATGACAATTCTTGTCAATCTTCAAAGATAATATGGAAGAAAATGATAGCATTTGTTTGGCATTTCATTTAGGACATTTGGGATTAATCGCAGACAAATAGTGGGCTATTGTTCGGCAAGATAAACAATAGATCATTATTATTTAAAATAAATGAGGAAAATATAAAAGTTGCACATATATTCTTTCTAAATGAGCTTTCTTCTCTTAAACAGCTTGCAAGAAAATTCTTAAGCAAAGCACCGGGCCAAAAATACTTTGAAATTTAATAACATGATGATTTATAATCTCAGAATAAAAATATCTAATACATTTACCAAAAATTATCCTCAAAGGTAACATACAATAAAACGATAGCATTTGTTATTTCAAAGGTAAATGATGTTTGTGCTTCATTATAATAAGCTTCATTATTTAAAATGACTGCGTTTGATAAAATGAATAGTGTAGCTTTTACTCTCGCTGTTCAGCAAACACAAGCCAGGATTATGAGTGGCAGTTCCCTAAATCAGCCTTTCATCAAATGACCAGTCCCAATAGACAGTGATCTACACGTAGTGGCCCATTTACAATCATTGTTACATTAAAGTCATGTGGTTTTAATACATTCCTGTTTCATTAATCCTCCTTGAATTGTAAGTGAAATTCAGCTGAAGCAATTGCAAGCAATGAAGTTTTGAAGTGAGACCACTGATCCTGATGGCTTTGTGACCTAGAAAGCTACTTTCTCAGCATTTTAGCTTTGCACGTGTTAAAATGCGCTTTTAGTAATCTTCTCTTATACATTCCTAAAAGACATGCTAGAGATGATAGGGGTGATGAGTCAGAATTGATTTGATGGCAGTGGGTTTGGTGGGGTTTTTGTTTTGTTTGATTAACTAACTTGGTTTAACTGCTTTATAATTAAGAGATTTAGTCTCATTATTTATACAAAGATCAAGTAACCCCTCTACTCTCTCAGACCATGACTAACAAGTATAAGGACCAAAACCTAAACCCACTGCCACTAAATTAATGATGGCACACAGTGACCACATGGGAGAGAGTCGGAATGCCCCAGGCTGAAACCCTAATAGAACCGGGTTGCCCACATCTGTCCTGTGGAGTAACTGTTGAGTTTAAATGATGCCTTTGTGGTGCACAGTCAAGCATCTTACCTGCTGCACCACCAGAGATTCTTAGGAAAAAGGAAACATAGCTATTGCTTCTTTTATTTTAGATAAGATCAGAATGCCTAAATTAATCTGAATAGGTTACATGCTCAATAGCATAATACACTTTTTTTCTTGGCCTTGTTCATTGATGAATGAGCTATTGATTACAAAATTCATTTCAAGTTGATAAACTGGGTTGCCCCCAAAAGACTCTCAGATATTGAATCAGAATTAATCCCTTGGTTTGAACAATTGCTTTAAGGTTATCTAAGATATTAAGATTTGGAGAATCTAGGTTTCTTACAGTCAATTTCTAAACCAGTTAATCTCTGTACCATTCTTACAACTTATGTGTAAGTAAGGGATGATTTCAAAGTGAAAATTAAAACAATAAAACATGTTTTTAAAATACTACAGAATTCTGACCCCAAATCACATCCAAGCACCTTTTCAAGGAATAAAGTTTAATGAAGCAATTGAGCATAAGTGCCTTTGGGAAAAGCTGTGTTTTTTGCTGAGTTTTCTCCACAATGCACAAAGAATAAAAACATATAAATGTAAATGATAGATGTAAAATAAATCAGTAATTTAATAACTTGGTAGAAATGTAAAGCCCACAGGTAACTTACACTAACTGTCCCTGAGTATAATTGCTTGCCCCTGTGGGTTTTCAGAGACTGTAGGTCTTCATAGGAATAGAAAGCCTCGTCTTTCTCCCGCTGAGTGCTTAGTGGTTTTGAACTGCCGATCTTGGAGTTTGCAGCCCAACGTGTAACCCACCTTTAAACCAGTGTTTGGGCTCTAGCATTAGTGGTTGGAAAATAACTTGAAGATCAAAAAGCACTGAGTGCTATGTAGCTATGTGGTGGTAGCTGAGGTATGTAACAATGGCTCCAGCTCTCTCTACAGCCTCCCTTAAAATACCTCTTGACACAGGAAATGTTAATTGGGTCACTTACTGGACCATGTGCATGAGTAAATGTCACATATTGTTGTCACTGGAGATGTTCCTACCTGTGAAGCTGAAGGGATGAGGGGGATGGTTCCTTCAGGATAGGCCAGCCACCTTGACCTTGCTCCCGTAGTCACAGGAGTGAGTGCCCAGGCAACTTTCATAGGGTTGACGGTATGTTGTGTATGACGTGGAGACACTTTCATACTTGGGGGCTTGGCTGCTTATTATGTATGACATGGAGACAAAGGCCTGGCTTATCATATCTTTCACTAATGTGATGCTTCAAATTCATTAACTCTTGGACTTTGGGTTGAAAGTTAGGGCATTAGTCAAGTGAAAAATCACTTGCTGTGTGCCATCCCATCTCCTTTGTGTGTGTGTGTGTATTCATATATTCTTTCCATTCAGGAATTACCAACAGAGACATCTGGGCAGCCCAAGGCTGGATTTGGCGCCATCTCTGATCTAAAAACGCCTCACATACTTATAATAGGAGAATCCATGGAAAATGCTTAAAGGAAAGATGTAAAAAAGTGTTTCATCTCCCTTGGCCTTTACCATCTGCAGTGGTGTGTGTGCAAAGGGCATCCATGGTGAGGGAGTGCATGGTTGAGAGAGAACATTAAAGTTAGCTTTCCTTTGTTTCGCATCCGGCTGTGTGCATTTCCTCATGAAGGTGGGCGTGGACAGAAACAGGCTGCCAAAAATGACATTGGATATAAAGTTTATCAGAGTCTTCAGAAAGACGATGAGGTGCGGAAATTTTAGAATGAACTACTCTTCAACTGAAAAACTAAGAATCTATAAACAAACACAGGAGACCTTATTCGCATCTCCAATTTGAAGAAGAGAAACTCAGTCTTAAAATATCATGTAAGTACTTCAGTAACATATGGAAAAGAAAGACAAAATAGAAAACCTGTATTTTAAAATTGAAAATGTGGTCATTTCCTCAATATATATGCTTCTTAAAAGACATTAAAGTTCAAGAAAAGGAAGAAATGAATTTCTAAACAGTGTCTTACCTTCCATCTCGATCCCAGTCATAAACCTCTAGTTTGATGGTTCTGTTCATGGGAAAAACACACGCATAAGGTCACTTCCCAAAAGCCAACCCAAATTCACTGAAATCAAGTCAATTCTGACTGAGAGTGGCTGCATACGACCAAGCAGAAGTGGCCCGTAGATTTTCTAACAGCGCCAGTGCTGACGGAAGCAGACTGCCACATCTGTTTGCCACAGAGCATTCCAAGGGTTGACCTCCCGGTTAGAAGCTGAGCATTTTCACCAATGTGCCGCAAGCCTTCCTGAAGGTTACTTAATATGATCAAAAATATATATATGCTTTTCTTAATCAGATAAACGATATGAGGTTTTACAGAGTAAATTAGGTTTACTTTACTAATTTTACTACTATAATTCAATTTGCATCTTAATATTAGTTTCTAAAAATCTGTGTTGATTCTTTAAAGAGAATGGAGAAAGCAGGGGAAGGCATACGACAGAGCTTCCTACTAGGGAGCTAGGCACCCTGGGTCTCCTGTCTTGACAACCATGTTCTTAAGCATAGCGTTTCTCAAACGCAGCGTGGATCAGAACAACAGAAAGGACTTATCCAAACAAATTGGTGGACCTCGTACTTAGAGTTCTGGTTCAGTGGGTCTGGATTGAGGCTGGGGAATATGGATTTCTATATTGTTACCAGGTGATGCCAATAATCGGGAACCAAATGATAAGAGCCCCCTTTGTAGGGAAAGCCTGAGTCCAATCACATGAAGTTAAGATTTTTTATTAAGTAAATAAATAAAATGATAGCCCAGGGGTATAATACAATTTTAGTACATTTAATGACCCTGATGATAGTTCCTTCCAAGATACTAACACAGCAAACTTTCATTTTCCTAACATATCAGCAACAAAATGACTTACTTTGTTACTGGACTTTAGTTTTAATCTATTTGCTTTTCTTTTGGTGTGGATGCAGGCTGCTTATATTATTATCTTACCATCAATTTTCCTAAGTAAAAGAAAAGAAACTTTGATATTAAAAAGATATATTTGAAGATATATATAATCTTCAAATACATTGTGACAGGGCCACTTAACCCAGCTGCTTGTAAAACAGCAGAATCTCACTGGTTCACAGCCTTGGGACTTCTATGAGTCAGCAAATAGAAGAATAGTTATGCGGTAAAGCAGTGTCACGAATATACCTGGGTTGATAACATATCCAGTCATACTCTTGTACCTCTTATATACGTATTTATTCCACTATGGAAGGAGGAGGTACCATTTGGAAACCATAAAGCAATGAGAATTCTGGAGTAATTTGTGAAGAATAACTATCAATTAGACGAGTGCTCAATATATTTTTGACACTTTTAACATATTACTTTTTGATAAATCAATTAGTTTACCTAATTTCAGTCAGGCATATTTTCTCTCTTCTCCAAACCACATGGATTTTTGAGACATGAAAAACGAATTTGAATATATCAGCTACAACTCTGGAAACATTTTTTTACTGTACTTAGAGCATTGGTTAAAATATTCTATTGTGAATATTCAAAACCTTCAGGAAAATTGTTGTCTATTTTACCTGTCATAATCTCCATTACATAAAGCTCTGACTGAGATCTTGAATGCTTGCCAAACAGGATTCAGAGTGTTCTTGACAACTTCAGTTTTATGACATATTGTGAAACTATTAAAAAAAAAGCAGTCATTTGAATGATTAAATTATGGCTTATTGTTACACTATCCATTCCTCTCTCGTTTTTTGTAGAATAAATGTTTTCAGCCCTTTTATTGCTTCTTTCCTTCTATGTCATTGTACAAAGGATTAGATCATTTTAAACGCTGAAGGAAATCACTCATTAACATCTAAAGCAATACAAATTTACAATAGGATTACTTTTAAAAATCATCTCCACATTTTAAAATTCTAAATCATTTTGTAAATAAGCTATCAATAGTGGGATCCCACATGGCAATAGATATGAAGGATATTCATAGGCTGCTAAATACTGACTTCATGAGTCACTCTGAAACATTTTTATGTGAATATTGAGGACAAAAATCTATTTCTTGAACTGTGTTTAAGACAGAAAGAAGAACCAGTGGTGGGGAGGGGATGGGAGGACTGGTAGGGAGTGACCAAGGGCAATGTAACCAAGAGGAATTACTAAAACCAGAATGAAGGCTGAGGATGGTAGTGGGACAAGAGGAAAGTGTAGGGAAATAGAGGAAAGGAGCAGGAGGCAAAGGGCATACATAGAGGCCTAAATACAGGCATGTACATATGTAAATATATTTATGATTATGGTGGAAATAGATCTATGTGCATATATTTATGGGTTTAGTAGGGTAGCAGGTGGACATTGGGCCTCCTCGCACATGTTCCCTTAATACAAGAGCACTTTGCTCAGCTAAATGGTCATTTCATGATACCCACCTTCCCAACATGATCGCTGAAGGCAAATGTGTGCATAAGCAAATGTGGTGAAGAAAGCTGATGGTGCCCAGTCATCAAAAGATATAGCATCTGGGGTCTTAAAGGCTGGAAGGTAAACAAGCAGCCATCTAGCTCGGAAGCAACAAAGCCCACAGAGAAGAAGCACACGAGCCTGTGTGATCACGAGGTGTTGAAGGGATCAGGTAGCAGACACCAAAGAACAAAACCCATCATTGTGTGACCACCTTCCCCATATAAATGCTGAAGACGAGTATGTGCATAAGTAAGTGTGATGAAGAAGGCTGATGGTGCCCGTATCGATAGATATAGCATCTGTGGTCTTAAAGGCTTAAAAGTAAACAAGGGGTCATCTAACCCAGAAGCAAGAAAGCCCACATGGAAGAAGCACACCAGCATATGTGATCACAAAGGGTCGAGGGGACCAGGTATCAAGCACCAAAGGTGTGTGGGTGGGGTGGGGGGGTGATCATATCGTGGAGGGGAGCGCACAATGGGGACCCAATGCCCATCTGTATACAACTGGACATCCCTTGCAGACAGGTAGTGGGGAGAAGCTGAGTCACTCAGGGTGCAGTGCAGCATTGATGAAACTCACAACCTTCCTCTGGTTCTTAAACGCTTCCTTCCCCACACTATCATGATCACAATTCTACCTTGCAAACCTGGTTAGACCAGAGGATGCACAGAGGTACAGATGGGAACTGGAAACACAGGGAATCCAGGACAGATGAACCCCTCAGGACCAG